CTTAAGATATTTCATGTCAGATTCAGACCCACCCATTCATAATGAGGGAAGAATACAGGAGAATAAAGGAAATGCATTTCTTTAAATACAGGATCATCAAAAGCAGGTTAAAAAGTTAAGTATAGCCTGATCTTAGATCCTGAGGCACCACAATCTTACAAAAAATTCAGGATCATTTGTGTGATTAACCCTGTAATCAAATGGATAAAACCATAGGGAGTGCTAAAAAAAATGCTGTTATATGTTTCATTTATTAATTGAAAAGTGTATAAGAAAAAATATGAGTATGGTACATTTTACCTCCCAGAGGATGTAAAATTCAATTTTGACATTTAATAGAAGGATATGAGAAAAGGTTAGATGTTAAATAAAATGCTGAGACATTTGTGAGTGGGATGAGGATGATAGTACATGATGTGGTGGGTTAATATAGTTCCAACAAGTTATCACAAATTAAACATTTTTTTAAATTAAAATTTTTGTCCCTGTATGATCAGGATAACCTGATATTCAGACATAGCTGCTGCATTTTTTAAATATTCTACACCTTCAGGTTTTCACTTACTAAATCATCCAAAGGCGAGCCACTCACGCAATAACACTCTTAATAAATTCCAATCAAAAAGATATTTGGATGGTGACATAATTTGAGTATTGGCAATATTTTCTATGTAATGTTCTGCTTAAAAGTCTCTTGAGGTGCAGTTACATAAACCAGCTTCTGGCTTATCTTTTATTTCACAAATGAAAAACCAAACAAATAAAAAACCAAACAAATAAAGCTAGAGGCATTCACGGGTATAACAGATAATGCTAGAACTTCCACAGTAGGGTACATAATATTTTATTTAATTAAAAAATACCAGAAACCATTAGATGAAATTAAATTTGTAGTTGTGGCACCAGATTTAACAATCTGTGCATTTACTTCACACAAAGGAATAACTGAAAAGGAGTACAATGCAGGGATGAAGACTTCAGCTCTGCTATCTCTGGGGTTCCTAGTCTGTCACCTAAAAGCCACCACCATGTGGATTTCTTGCAGTCTTAGTCCTCTAGTTTTCTTCAAGAACTTTAATTTATTTCTGCACAAAAGCACACCTTCAATAGGATGGTAAGAAAGCGCTGCTACATGTTATTTACACAAATCCAGTTTCTTTGGGTGAAATTGGATATTTAAAGAAGGACATTTTTTACAGCTATTTGCTATTAGTATGACCTCATCACGTTATTTACAAGCCCATATTGTCACAGAAAACCTTAGTTCTACAAACACTCCTCTTTCCCTCTCACCGTCCAATAGTGGAAGGCTCAGCTGTCTACTTGGAATGTTGGTTTTCACTATCTTTTTATTTCATTTAGATTTGTATTTTGTATCACAAATGGTTCATTTGTGCATTAATCGTGCAAGACAATGAATGACAGTGAATGGCTTGCTACTAAGTCTTGCTACTAAGAAAGTAGACTTCTTGAAGGAGAAATCTTCTCTTTTTCCAAACCTATCATGATTATCTTATATGACCTCGGACAAGATGCTTAATAGACCATGATAAGAAGAATAGACCATACTGGTGTGGGGAGAAAGAAAGTAATAATTTTCTTGATCATAATAGTAACAATAGTAAAATATTCCAAAGAGAGAGGATTATTCCATATTATAGCAAAATACCAAAGGATTACCAAAGTTGCACAAGAGCATGCAGGTTCATCAGCTGCTAGACTCCTGAGCAATATGCCTACAGAATGATGCCTCTGACAGCTACTTAACTTGCAACATGCTGGAAGTGTTCAGAGCTCTTTCTGATTTTTGTGTGATAAACAAATGTAAAGGAATGAAAAACACTTGTGAAAAATCAAAATTCTGCATAGCAAGAGGTGATATATGTCATCATTTGACTTTATGATGTTACTTTGAGTTCGTATGTCTTAGATGTGATCTTGATGTCTGGTAAGTGTTATTTCATTAGCATTAATAGTTATGGACCCAGGCAGCATAAAGTGTAATCTATTGTCTTGGTTTTACCTTCTTTTCCTTGGATAGTTCTGCACTAAATTATCCATTTTGTAATGGCTTCAGACCTGAATAGCTAGTCCTTTGTGCATGCCATGACAGATTGCTAGACTTCATGTTGCATCATCTAGGTATGTTATCTTAAAGGATGAATAGATAGAAGAAATGAAACTCAACACATCTCCTGCTACAGTTTCTTTGTCACAGGAAATCCTGAACATCTAATTGAGGATGCTCATATGTATTAGATGACCGCATCAGCTTTCCTCTTTCTCAGTTGGCATTTTGGTTTCTGTATGAGGCTGTGATGCTTAGACATTGCTGAGGTGCATAGCTTTGCTGTGTCGCTCTCTCAGATGCAATTGCTCATCTCTGCTAAGAGTACCAGCTCCTGAGCAGCTTGCAACATCTCTCCTTGCTCTACAAGTGCAGTCTGGCATCCACTCAAGACAATTCTATGTCTTGGGCCATAGGAAAGGTATATATGTATCCTCATACATAAAAAATTAAGTTTAAAATATCCTGTCATCCTTTCATTTCTTACTATTCTACTTCTCACTTGTGCTCATTCTCATTTAACTTCCTTGAGATGTGAGCCAGCACTAAAACACCAGAAGGCCTGTGTTTGAAGAGGAAGATGCTGACTTAGAAAGCTAATCGTGATGGCTTGAGTCCCTGAGAATTTTGACACTGACTTCATTTCTGCTAGAACTGGTCCTCATTATGTATTTCACATCTGAGGGTTGAAAATCAAATACATTATTACATCAATAAAATATATCAAAACCACCTTTAAATATGTGGTCATGTGTTAGTGCTGCTGTTTGGTCCTTTCTGCTTTGGTAATATGGGTTCGCTCTTCATGCTCTGGATACTGAATGATCCGTTATCTTACACAGATGCTGATGTTTTCATTGAGCTATTTCCGTTCACTGAACTATGTGACGATGTAAAATGTGATGCACATTAATCTGATGACAATATGTAGCAAAAAAGCTTCTTTTACAGGAATCAGATTCCTTAAACGCTTATTACAAGAAAGTGGTACATGAGACTACTGTAATACTCGCATATAATGGACTTACAGTCTAAAGGAAGCAGATATTGATGTAACTGCTTGTCTAACATCAAAGGCACCATCAAGTTTACCAATCACAGAATACCTAATCAGAAAATGTATAAAATAGCTGAAATGGATCTCAAGGTCTAGTTAATCCATCCTCCTGTCTCAAAGTGCAAACAGACCTGACAGAAAAAAATTAAAACCTTGCAATGAAAAATAATCAATTCCAATGTTCTATTATTGTTAAAATTCAAATATTTCTTTCTCCATGTCTAACATAAAGGTCTTATTCTTGCATTGTAAGTTGGCTAGCTTTCCCGTATGTGATGGACTTGGAAAACCAATGATTCTCTTCCACTTCACAGCAAGCTTTTGATTTTGAAGACTGTGCTTCAGACTCTCCAGAATAAATGATAAACCCAAGTTCTTCCAATATTTGGATCCATATCTGGCTCCTTCTTTATTGGAAAATAAGGTCTGAAATCCTAAGTAACTTCAAAGAACCTTTTTGGCAATGTAGCTAATGCAGACACATTTGGCTGCATCTTCAGGCAACATGAACAGAAAAACATAATTAAAATAACTGAGGAACAAATGTTTTTGTTTTTATTGATAACTATCTGGCATTGGTTTTGCAGAATACGTACCAGCGAAAACAGCCAACCAAATTTTCCAGCTTGTAAAAACTCTACTCAGTTGATACTCAAGAGGAGGAGAGAGGGATTGAACTAGGGACTGAATAACCGAAAGAAATAATGATCAAATCTGTTTGTTTTTTTCCCCCCGCTTCTTTTAATGTTTGTCTCTATCTATCTCTTTTCATAGATGTGTGTTTGTATCTTTGTCACAAAAATTAATTATGACTGCAGTAAATTTCTTGAACTCATTTCAGTTTTGTTAATTAATTGGAAAAAGAAAAAGATTGCAAAATACTGTTTTCAATCACCCTATGACAATCAAAATAATTGTGAATTTACTGCAATTAACAACCAAACAAGATGCATCAGTTTTAACTAAGATGAATTCAGAGACCTATGGAACTGCTTTTTGGAACAAAGAAAGATCATGGTACATGTAGACAGTAAAGTGTTTAGAGAGTTTACAGAGCTGGAACATTTAAGAAAAAGGTTAGACAGTAACAGAGAGTTTTCATGGTGATTGAAGCTATCATCTAACTGATACACAGATGTGTGTCTTCAAAGAGCTATAGACTTATTTTCATCTTCTCTGAAGTTCTGATAATTGCATGATTTTAGCTGACGTTTAAAGATCTTTTGTGTGGTTTGTTAAATTTTTAAAGTACTATTCTATCTGAAGTAAAATTTAATAAATATGAAAATAAGCTGGCTCATATTAATCTGCAGCTGAAAATGTAACATTTTTCAAGTTCTTTCTAGTTATAATGTGTGCAGAGGCTTTACTGCATATTCAGAGCATATTTATAAGATTAATTATATATTTATAGTATTAATTGTATACTATTTATAATCTAATTACATAGTTTCACATAAATGTGGCAATCAATGCTAACAATGATTTACTATACTTGAGAAATGAATGAAACATTGCCTTCATATACTGCAATATAATTTGTATGTTTTGACTGACTGTCTACTTCAGCAAGATATACAAGAAATGTTTATGTAAAACACTCCTGAAGAAGAAATTAAAAATACGTAATATGTACTCAGTTTAATAATAAACACAACCTGCTTTAAAAGGAATAAAAAATCTCATTAGCTTTTTTTTTAAAAAAAGAAAAAGTGACATGTATTATTAACTTTTCAGCCACAGAAGTATCAGTTCTTCAGTATTAGAAATTATGGGAAAGTCCAAAGCAAATTATGTGTTTCTGCGTTTTTTCTCACATGCAATCAATGATAATAATACAGGTTCCATTCAGTTACTAAAGAAACAAGCTGCATGGAAAAGATTGAAATATTTTATTGAAGGATTTAATAATTTCTTATTCAGGGAAGCACAGGTACAGATATAACAAGTGAAGCATTTTACTGCTCCCAGAAAAACTGAACTTTCAAACCTTCAACAACCAATTATTTCAAATCAAAATAATGCACAATGCAATACTGCTTGAGATGTTTTTAAAAACACCAAACAAGAAGACAAATAAAAAGCCAAAACTCTTTTACATTTAAGGTGACATTTTAACATGAAGACGTCGCACATATTTGCTGATATAGTACCTGATGTTAAAGCACACTTGGCAAAGCTCTTACAGGCAACGGTATAACCACTAAAACTCTTCCTGGTTAAACTTCTCTTCAGTATTTTCCCATCTGAACATCTAGATCACTCTTGCTCTCTCTGGAGAGGTTTGCGCTCTGGAGGTAGCATTGGCTGTAATTTCTGCCAGCGTTGTGGAGGCCAGAGGATATGAGTAGCTCGAGCATGTAAAAGTCCAAGAGAAACCTGTAACCAACATATAAAACAGAGAGATTATTAAATACTGCAAATAAAATAAAATGTGGAAAACACAAAGCAAATGGTGATTTGTTAGAGCAATGAGAGAATACAAAGCAGTGAACTTTGCAAACGACGAGTGGTTTTTTGATAAAACATTTACTCGAATTCAAAATAGCCTGCTGAAATGCACTGGTTGTAACAAACATGAACTAGGAATGTTTTTTCATGTTTGAGAAAAACAGTTGGTCAAAACAGGTGAGGTATTCTATAATCCAGCAAAAGCTTTCAGTTATGTTATTCTGGTTACAGCAGAACAAAGTTCAAGTATCTATTCTGAATAAGTTAAACAGAACCTGTATCTTGGATTTGAGCTATGTACACTAACCCCAGCAGGGTAGTGGCTTTTCTAAACATGCTGTGCTTTCTATTTGTCATTCCCTTTCAAAATTCCATTTTGTCTCCAACCAAAAATGGAAATTACTGTGAATTGCAAATGCTTCCCTGAGGATGAAAATGGATTTCTGATAGAATTATTTGAAACGCATTTACAGAACAAATATTTTTTAAGTTCTAGGACCACTTACACTTCATTCATAGGTTTTGTAAACATGTTTTAACATCTTATTCTTATTTCAACAATTTTACTTCACTAATGTTCTACTTCAATAAATCAAAATAAAAGTCAATACTGATATTGCTTACAAATTAATTGTTTATAGGTGGTATAGTTTAGAAAACTGTATTGCTTACAAAACCTTAAGAAACTTACAAACAAGATATTTTTCAAATATGGTATGAAATGGCTAGACTAAGAACAACTGAGAATAGAACAGTCACATTTTCAGATTGAGATAATAAGACAAGCCTTCAGTGTTCGTACTTAACATTGCCATTACGTAATTTGGCATAGAGTTAATCTCACTTAATTTGAAAAGCCTGCAGGATAGTCTTCTGCCTCTTAAATGTTTTGTTTAGACGACTTCTGGAGACAACAGCACGTAATAAGCTTCCCACCAATTATAAACTATCCAGTGCCAATAGAAAAGTTGCAAACAGGACAAAAGTTAGAAACACTGGAATGTCTCCTAAAGAGACATCAGGGTTAGAAGTCTATACAATTATGATTGGCATGGCTAAAGAATGCATAGGCTTTGTTTGCCCTGTTATGTAATAATTTCTCATAAGAATGAGGAAACATCAGATTACATTATTTTAAAGAATTTTTAAAGCCAAAAAAAAGAGAAATGCTTCTTCAGAATGTGCAGGATTACATCATACCTGCATAGACGATACATGATTGTAATAGAAGCAAAGTCCATCACACATAATTGAACAGGAACAACGTAATAATGTAATCTCTATACTCCACAGTAGGAAACACTGAGAGAAAAATTATGTACTTGTTTTGTTCTTATGTTGTAATGATCTGGTATGGGCTGTTGTCAGATCCAGGAGTTAAATGGATTTCTGGTTTGAACCTGTACATTCCTGCTTAAATTTTTATGTAAACTCAGTTCTTCAGTTCCATTCCATTACTCATCACAAAAAAAAAGTGATTTCAGTAAGCAGGTAATGCAGCATTTTATGCAAATAGACACCAAATAGGCCCCTAGGAATATCTTCAGCTAATTTTCTTGATTTAATTTCATAGGATTAATGTATATTCACTAGTCTCTCTCTACTACATAATCAAATCAGTGAAGCTGAAGTGGTCTATATCTAATTCCATATTCTGTAGCTTGATGAAGCAGGTGCTGAATTACTTGAATATAATTTAGTTACTTAATAACCCACAATATCTAAAAGAATCTGAAGTAGATCACCGAAATTGCAGTGTAGCATCATATGTTGCTTGCTTGATTCCTTGCAGGGATCACTTGTTTCCCTGATCCACTGCAGCTTTTTTCCTACTTTCAAGCAAAGGACAGGATGCTAAGTGTCAACTCCATTTTGATAGCATTTAGCTACATTTTTTAAGTCTTGACATGCTTCTGCGTAGTTTGTTGGATATTTATGGAATTCACAATATCCTTTATCTTCATTATCCCATAAAGGGGTCTGGAAATGTAGCATTGCCACAGGGATTTTGTTCCCAGAGTATACAGCATGATGGCACACACATTACAGGCTGGTGCCAAAACATAAAACCACAGCAATCCCCACCACTGCATATAAAATGTGACAGCATTAGTATATAGAAAAATGTTAAAATACTCTTGTCAAACACAAATAACATCCCATTTTCAAAGCTCTGTGTTTTTCTCAGTGCACAGCTTGTTACTGATGTCAGTAGGAGGTCTACACACAGACTGAGAATATAATAAATGAATCAAAACTTGTTTGAAGGTGAGGCTGGCAATAATTTTGCCCAGAGGATTACTTCTACTACCATCATCTGACTTGAAACTAATAAAGAAATATCCTTCCTATAAACCTGATTTACAGGACAACATGACTAGTGTTAAAAAGGAAAAACAGGTATTGTTGGGTGATGGACATCTTTGCTAAATAACAAATGACACTGATGCTATAGGGCTTCTTCTATAATAAGGGCTCGCTTTAAAAGCACCTTGATGTTTGACTTCTGCAAACAACCTTAATAACTTTGTCCACTGCCTATTATTATTCTGTAGTTACCACAGCAGCCACGAATTTCACTGAGGAAGAGCAGTATTGTTTGCAGAGAATAACCTGCCCTTGTTAACGGGTTTACCCTCGTCAGGGTTAGATAGGGACAAAGGGTGAACTGAGAGGCTACGTTTTCTGTTGCAATAGAGAAATGCTGAAATAATCTCTTTAAAAATAGATTAATCAATCCAATTACAGACATTGTTTATTCTCTTTACTTAAGAAAACAAGTTTATCCCCTTGAAACACTGTCTTAACTATAAGAAAAATCAGTACTTTACAGGTACAAATTATTTGAGGAACATGTTTAATTTACAGATGTGAGTAAGAGATAGCAGAAATCTAAATAGCTGATATTTATTTCTACGTAATGATCAATTTATTATTCTTGCTGTGGCAACAACAGATGCTATGTTGAATTGAACCCATATTATTCTCCCTAACCTGAGCTTTTTAGGCATTAATTCTAATTTTTTAAAATCTTTGAGTATTTAATTGAACAACTGAGAAGTCATTCTGTTAACATACCAGTTTTATCTGCAAAATAAGTTTTGAATGAATAATTCTGTTTTGACACTGTTACTGTGATAAAAACATATTTACTCAGAGTCTGCTCATTGTTAGTATGTTACTTGTATGGAGACTGATTAGTTTTGGTGCTGCATTAGGGAAAGATAAGCCTAAACTTGACAGTGATATCTGCAGTGGTATTTACAACTATCTATCTTGCTTATTCTGTCCTAACACTTTGGGATAAATGCACCTTTCTTGATATAGAAACTTATATTACTATGACTTCTCCCAGTTCCAAAATAAGTAACTTTAAAATACTCATTGATTTACAGACTGTACTCTCCACCTCTTCTTGTCTGTTTGCCATTTGACACCTTCACTATCTCTTACCATGGTGCCTTTTCTAATACCAAATCACACTGGTAAAAGCAGCATTCAGACTGTGCAAGAATCCTGCACAGACGTAGCATGCAGTGGCACACACCAAAAATTTGTATGGAAATCCAGTTCTTCAGTTTGGATTTCAAGGAAAAAAAAAGTCCATATAAGTATGTGACCCTAACAAGGCTATTCTCAACTTTCTCAGGGCATGTAAAGTCTACCCAACCTGCTAAATTCAGGTAGTACTGCTTGAGTAGCTGTGAGTTTACTTTATGTTAGGTGCATTCCCCACAGATTTCTCTTTGCATCTTTTTTCCTTGAAACTTTGGTGATTATTCTATATCTTAAATGGCGAAGAATTAAAATTCTGTAACAACACTAGAACAAGTGAGTACAGCACCACTGAATATAACCTCAAAAACAGCAATGAAGAACGAAAAACCCAGGCCTTTACTACCTTTTCTAAAAATAGACTTCCTACCTAGTCAATTTGCTAATTAGAAGTAATAATAAATCAGACAAAAAAAATTCAAGAATGTTCAGCTCTTCTTGTAGCCCTGTAAGCCAGTATTGCCATTGCTCGTAACAAGCTGTAGATCTTGTATCATCTCTGCAAGGCCTCAAGATTAATTTCTCAGGCTTTGTCTTAACTTTCCTTGCCTGCCTGAAGTTTTATTTGGCTTCTTTAGCTGCAACAATTTTTCTAATGATCAGGTAACTATTGCCTAATTTGTTAGTTTTCCTTTATATCCCTTATATTTTTTATACCTGCATATACTTGTGGTATAATGAAAGTTTTTACCTGTACAGTAAAAAAGTAATTGTTCTTTGTAGAATGAAATATTTATGACGTTAACATAGCAATGTGTTTACAAGGTTATAGAAATGGGATAATAAAGACTGCAGGCCTATAAGCAACTTAGCAATGGTCACTAAAAAAAAACCTGAGACTGACTGGGGAGTTGGACAAAAAGATTTTAAGGCTAACAAGGAGAAAAATATTCAGAAGAATAAGGAATGTACTAACATATACAAAACAAAATATGTAATAAATACAGATGAAAAGTGACGTTGCCGGTCAATGAACAAAGAACTAAGTAAAAAACATGTTAGAATACGTATTCAATTAACCTCAAGAGAAGTAAGAGTGAGGAAGAAGAAACCATCAACATCACAGTCCTCCTTGTGATAAATTCAGGATCCCAATAACTCACTAAACCACCCTTTTCCCTTCTTTTTGAACCTTTCTCTCTGGCTCTGAAGAGTCATCTTTTCTTTATTAGCACAGGTCTTCCAAATGCCATGGCCAATGAAAACCATGCAAACACAAAAAAAACCAACAACAACATGTACAATCAGTGTTTCAAATTATGCTTTCTATTCCTTGCAGTAATATATTGTTATTATATTTCTTTTGTTCATATTCAGTTTAGTAAATTTAGGTTATCTACAACCTTTCACATGCTCAGCACTATGGAACATCA